TATTCCTTATGTTTTTTGGCTTATAGTTTCTTTGCAAGCTGGTCAATCCTTTTCCTATTTAAGAAAGAAAAGTTTATTGATATTAAGATTTGAGACTTTTAAACAAAGTAAAATGGTGAGTATTCGGGAATTGATAGCATCAGGATTCAAAATCAAATTAACATGTTCGGGCAAAGAAAGAAATCGAAAAACTAGGTCCTTAGGGCATCCTGGGCTATGAGAGGGCAGAGTGCACATGTTGTCGTAGTTTCAGAATTCGTAAGAACTACTAAATTGTGCATAATTCAAGGTTTTGTATAACATGTTATACAAAAAAAATTGGTTTACTTTTTAGTTTGGAATGAAGCAAAGAGTGCACTTACTATGCTTTTCATGTTCTGCTGCATGCGTGCAGACTACAACTGGTTAATGGCATAAGAAAATAGGAAGAAAAATCTTGTTGGTGTCAATTTCCTTGGATCAGTTGTAAAGTCTATGTTTGTTACATCATTGCATAAACAGAAAACAACTATAAGTTTTGTCTTGATTTGCAGAATATGCATCAAGGATTTCCAAAAGAAACTCTGGTGCGATTTCTCAAAGCTAGGGAAGGGAATGTTTCCAAAGCCCATAAAATGGTTAGATGCATTTAATTTCAGTTGAAATTTTGAGATTAATTGTTGTTTTAGAACATTATTTATGAAGTTATCTCCATTTCTCATTGATTATACTAAACTGTCTCAGCTGCTTGACTGTTTAAACTGGAGGATGCAAAATGAGATTGACAATATATTGGCGGTGAGTTTTTATTGTTATTTGAAAACCAGCTAAGCATCCTTTGCTGTAGCAGATTATTATATTAATCTTTAAGCAGACTAGGCACTGTTTGTGTGTTGATTTATGATTCAATTGTGACACAATGCTAATGCAAGATGTTCTGCTTTAAATTATGGAATTTAATGTGGTGAGCCCATACTTGAGATCGATCTTTTCATGAATATCAGAATTGTATATGCTGACCTCTCCTACAATCTTCATTGCTTTGCTTTTGCATGGTGGGGCTTGAAAAAAGATTTTAGTGAAACTACTTCAGATAACATTATCTGTTGCATCTAAATTATTAGCTTGAAAACCTTGCAACAAATCTAGTGGCCTACATAAGGGCACAACTTAATGTGTCCATAAAATTCATGTTTGTGCCTCAGGTCTTCATTGTGAGGGTGCTTGGCACCCAGAACGTAAGTAGGTTCCATTATTGGCCAAGACTATCAAAGTTCATTTCCTTTTGAACTCTGGCCACACTGATTCTTGAACTTAAATTATTCATGGAAGTTGTATCGACTTACATTGAAGTTAAAAACTGTAACACTATTCTCAACTCATCAAGATTTAGAACATTGAAAATGGTATTAGAAGATCATGGTAGTTCACATTTTAATTTAAATCATGTTCATAAGACAGATCTCACTGGGTCATTAATGATGTACTTCATCACTAATTTTAATGGGTCCTCTATGCAGAAACCAATTATCCCTACTGAATTGTACAGAGCAGTGCGCGATTCACAGCTAGTAGGAGTGTCAGGTTACTCAAAAGAGGTATTCGCTTAATAAAAATCATTTCCTTTAAATGCCAATTAAATCGGTCCAGGACTCAAATTTTGTTTGGCCTTACCAGTGAAAGTGAAGTTGCTCTTATTGTGATCTTAATAAACAAGAACTATTGCATGGTGATCATGATGTTCTGCTGCTCATTCTTTCTTTTTTGACTTGGTAAAATTTTCCAGGGTCTCCCTGTCGTTGCTGTTGGTGTGGGGCTCAGCACCTATGACAAAGCATCTGTACGGATGTGATTATTTTTTCTTTCCCAGCTGTCTTGATTTTGATATTAACTTCAGCATCATCAAGGATTGATTTGTTCCATACTTCTATGAATGGGGCATGATGATTTGCTAATGCATGAAGTCAATCATGCATGAAAAATTCATTGCAGCTTGGTTCATTTATGCAATTTTGCTCATAATGAAATGCATTTTCTATTCTACAGTGGTTAATTGTTTATTTGTTTTGTATTTTAGATTCACTACTATGTTCAGTCACACATCCAAATGAACGAATATAGGGACCGTGTAATATTGGTGAGTATGATTCCTGCAGACTTGGGCTTTTGCTTAACCATATATCTTGATTATAGCTTCTCTTGTAGCCTAACTAATTGTTTGGTTGTAGCCATTTGCATCAATGAAGTTTGGACGGCATATTGGTACATGTGTGAAGGTTCTGGATATGACTGGTTTAAAGCTTTCAGCACTAAACCAAATTAAGGTATTTCTCATTTGTCTGGGAAAGTTTCCGTGATCAACTCTCCTAGTGCTCATTAAATATTCAATTTTATTGGCAAAGTACGTGGTATTTTTTTTTCAGAGTTATCTGGAGACCTGAAATTAACTTTTTTTTGATTTTTCAATTGATCTTGTGGTTTCATGTACTACTTACTGTGGGGTTAAAAACAATATTTCACCAACACAATAACATCTTTCTCCCCGACTTTTGCCTCTGGATCAATAAATCCAAAGTCAACTCTCTCTGATATAAACCCTGTAGGTAGAACTCACCATTGAAAACCGGCTTGCTAGGAGAGGATGCCCAAGAGGCTTATATGCACATGGCTGGCCTTTGTTAAACTGATGTGGCCTATAGGTCACCCCTTTTGTGGCTTAAACTGCAAAGCCACACCTATCTAACCATACTTGCGTAGTTGTGTTTAATCCCATACTTGACATGGTGGCTAGCTTTGATACCAAATGATATAAACCCATTAAGTTGTCACAAATTTATTTTTTTCATGCAGTTTGTTCCTTGGGAACACATATTCACACTTTTATGTTTGCTTTCAGCTATTGACCGTTATATCTACCATTGATGACCTGAACTATCCGGAGAAGACAGATACATATTACATTGTTAATGCACCATACATATTTTCAGCATGCTGGAAGGTTTGCTTTTATCTTCATCTTTAACAAAAGATGTCAACTGTTCATCTTTGTTAATAAACTTTGACTTTGGCAGGTTGTGAGGCCTCTTTTGCAAGAAAGAACGAGGAAGAAAGTTCAGGTCCTGCCAGGTTGTGGGAGAGATGAGTTGTTGAAGGTATGGAAACCTTAATCATCCTGGTTTTGTGGCCAGTTTTTGCTTTCCACTGGTGCATTATTCATTGTATTTGTGTTGAAACTGTCTTCTTTCTTCACGATGTACATGCCCACTTCTATACAGCATGATACTTGTAGAAACCCCAGATCTTACGCAATGTTGTTTTATAAAGCTAATGGTTCCTCCCTAATTTATGGTAAAAGCAATAGTGGTGAATGAGATGATCTTAAAATAGTAGCAGAAACTATTACTGGTGAATAGTGTGTGGCAGTAGAGTATATTTAAGGCATCAGAATTAGATGTCCCTTAATAGAGTCCAATGCAAAGAACAGGTTTCTAGCTCACCCAAGGCTTTTCCATATCTAATCTTTTTGCATATGCATTTGTCTTTTATATGTGGTTGATTGTCATTGGTAGCTGCCTCTGTCAGACCGTAATGAGCCATTCAATTCTAAACTTACATGTTAAGCTTGGCAAGTGCAAAAGCAGGTTCTAGTTTTTCAAAATCTATCAAAATGTTGCTTATTGACAATAAAATGGGCAAGAACCATGTTGAAAAAAAAACATAATAATAAAATCAGATTTTACCTCTTCTTTTCTTTTCCACAAGTTTCTGGGGAACCAAACGGTCAGAAGACCACTAATATAAGTGGACTGGATTGGGCTGGACCTATGTTTTCTTCTTATATATATGAACGGTCAGAAGACCACTAATATAAGTGGACTGGATTGGGCTGGACCTATGTTTTCTTCTTATATATATGTCGTACCTTTGATGTTGTTTCGCTACTTGGATGCAGATAATGGATTATGAATCTCTTCCACATTTTTGTAAAAGAGAAGGATCTGGATCATCGAAATGGAACCACGGATAATTGTTTCTCATTGGATCATCCCTTCCATGAACAGCTCTATATTTATGTCAAGCAACGGGCTGTGGTTAGGGAGGCACCAATCAAGCAAGGCTCATTCCATGTGGATTTTCCTGAACCAAACCCAGAAGATGCCAAAATTGCTGAAACTATAGAATCCGAGTTCCATAGGCTTGGGGATCAGAATGGGATGTCCAACTCACTACATGACCTGAGTATCAATGGTGATTGAAAGCTCACAGAAAATTACTATTTCTGAATCTGTTGGCTGTATCTGCAGCTGCACCTGATATGGAGTAGCACATTGCTCGCCAAACTACACAATAACTGCTGCTGTTGGATGAGGAGGGTTTTAATTTAGGGATGTAATAGCAATGCCTTGTGTCAGCTCGATGCAGATTTGTTAGCTCTGATCTGACATTGCTACCTAGGGTGGTTAGATAATTGTATTGTTGTTGACCAAGAATGTATTAATCACTTATTCAATGATAATGATGTTTAAAAATTAGTTTCACTTGCTGAAATGAAAGTGATCTAATCCTATTTTCGTCCAAATGCAAGATGGTTCTATGGTGATTTCCTTTAAGAAAGAAGATACAACCTCTCTGGTTTTCACTACAGAAATTAAACTCTTTTGATGCATGTGGCAATCCAGTTTATGAGTTCAAACAATGGACTCTGCTTCTTTGACATCTGTGACTCTGGTTGTATGAACAGTTCTGGTGAGGAAGACTCTTCCAAGAAGAAGAGAAGTCTTCTCAACAGCTTGTTTTTCATTGATGACAGAAAGTTTTCTTTTGACTTTTATTTTTGTTATACTAAACGCCAAAAAAAAAAAAAAATTCCGTCTAAATAAACAGTGCACTGTTATCGTTTATTTCATGATCAGAAATATGATAAAAAAGTAAAGACGGACTAAACCCATTGTGGCAACTCATTTTGTGATGAGGCAATGCTCTTGAATGATGTACCATTTACAGCACTTGACAGCAAAGCATTTTTTGACAAAGCCAAAATGATCCATACTTTGATTCAGGTTGGTAATACAAACCAATGTATCCTGCAACAAACAAATGCATATCTAATGTGGAGAATGAACTTCAAATATTGGAGACCAGAAAAATTCATATACATAGAAGAAATCCACATTTAGAGATCATGGATGCATTGGAAACAAACAGAAACCCACTATCCTAACATATATATATATATATGTATGTGACGGTTCACATCCTTCTCTCCTTAAAATCTGCGAGATCTTTCTGGAGATGCATTTAACATCAAGTATTTACCTCAACTGTTTGTAACAATTATATGCAACAGCAACTGACATGGCAGCACCAATAACAGCAAGAGCTGCATAGGTATCCTCGCGCTCCCAGCTCTCTAACCATGTTGGCATAGTGCACATCCTGCGAGTGCTAGCTGCTTTACCACTATTCTTCCGGGAAATTTGTCTTTTGGTGCTCTTCTTTTCAGCTGTCAACTTTGCCTCCCTCTTGTTAAGATTAGCATTATCTATCTTTTCGGGTACAGAAGGATTCTGACAACAGGGGGAGTTTCCATTTGCCCGGAAACAACCCATACCTGCAACTTGAGATCCACACACAGCACTGCTGATCTCATTTGTTTGTGTTGGCTCTTTTGAGCTGCTTCCAACATTGGCCTCTTTGTTTAGTTGAAGCCTTAATTCCTGGGATGTTTTCTGGTCTTCTTCTGATAAACCCATCTGTCCCCTGATGTTAGGATTCATAAGTTGAATGAATATAGAGTGAGACTCATTAAATAAAAAAGAAAAGAAAAGAATGAACCATGCGTTTATCTGTGTTTATGAGTGCTAGAAAGGGCATGTAAATGTTCAACAAAATTACTATAAATGTGCATCTCAGGCCGCCACCTGGAGACCTCTATGTTGATACCTCCTGAGCCGCTACTAATATCAGCCATACGAGTTGTACAAATAGCCTGGGCAAAATCTCATCATATGGGAGACACACTGGGGTGAATTTGTTCGAGGGCCTATCAGTGTCGCAAGTTTGACATGTACTTTTGATACTGGGAATAACGTGTGTGCTTGTTTAAAAATGAAGTACCCTCATATAGTGAGTATTCTTATTTACGTTCCCATGACAATCAAAACTTTAGAATACAAAAGAAATTTGACAATCATAATTATAAAGCTGATTATAAGTAGAAAACAAGTAAATCATTCAAGAATATGAAATATATTTTAACAATAAAGATTACGACATAAAATTTATGCTTTGATTATCCAAAATAAAGAAAGAATTACTATACTGACTTCTCATCCTCAAAAAATTTCAAATTACTGTTGTAATACTTGAATTTATGATAACCAATAAAGGCAAAAAGTTATTCAAGGACAACACAATTTCATAGAAAATGGGTACTTAAATAATTTTAAAATTAAAAAACCAATCACCGGTTACAAATTTAATGATGTTAGGCTCATACAACTAACACTTGGGCCAAAAAGTTTAAGATCTTAACATGTTCCCACAAAGGATAATGAGATTCCTCATAAAGAGATTCCCATTTCTTAGGTATTATTCTTGGACTCCCAACGTGGGTTAGGGAAAAGTATATCTATAAATTGAAGATCATTCAAAACATTTTGACAACTCTTCTTCATAAGCTTACAAATTTCTGACCGGACATTTAACTTTTGGGCAATACTCTGAAATCTCCCACACCTCACAACAGAAAATGGGGTAAGAAATTTGTTGTGCTAATACTCATACATGACTTGAACATCCCAAATTTTCAATTTCTCTTTTGCTCAAATTATAATAGAGCTGTATTTCCCATCATTCTAGTTGGAGGTGCCAACAGAACTTCTGCCAAGATCCTATTATTCAAAAACTTCATGAATCAAACCACTCTAATGCTGACCACTTTCTAAAGTTTCCAAAAAAAAACAAAAGGAAAATTACCTCCAAAGCCAATCTACAATTTCTCCTTTCCCAATATGCTGTTCAAGCAAGAGAGGTACATCATCTGGGGTAACATACCCATACCTAAAGAATATTAAATCAAAATGGCTCAAGAATTGTTTATATTTAAAATGTGATCTACGAAGAAAGAAAAGATCCACTTACACTTTACTCATCATATCAAAGAAGATGATGAAAGCATTAGTCCAGCAAATATACAATCAAAAAAAGAGTTACATCCTTACCAATGACCAGTAACTTCTCCACCGATTTTTGCTCCAAAAATAATCACATTTCCTGCATACTTATGCTCCCCGATGTGTGAGCACGGGCTGACAGAAACTTTACTTTGAAGGCCATATGATTCAATCTCTTCTTTGAATCTAGTAATCACAGCAGGTCCACAAACACCACAACGTCGATCCCTGGTCCCATGAGCACACACAAAGATATAGAAGCCCCTTAGTGCTTCAGGAGTTCCAGGTGGCCATTCACCATCTTTCACAAGCACTTCCTCAACAAATGTGTCAATATCAAAGTGTGTCAATCTCCTGCATTTTATGCAAAAATCACAGTCAAACAATGGGAAGGAAAAACAAGATTGTGAAGAGCATCCAAAAAGTAATGAAGAAAGACTGCAATTTGACCTGTATCTGATCATGTCAGGAAAGATTAAAACATCACCATTCGATGTCTCAGTTCCATCACGCCCCTCACATATTGTTAACCGGGTCTTGAGAAAAATGGGGAAAACAATGTAAGAAAACTGTATGCTGTATTACACAAATATGATAGTAAGAAGTAAAGCAAACACATATACAGATACACTCGATTTCAAGATCAAAGCAGCATTGTTGACCAAATAAACTGAAAGCAAACTATTAGAAGTAGGATAAGTGCTAAAAATTCTAAAGACCACAAAATTTTTGTGCTTCACCAGTTCAACAATAATTAATTTATGCAAACCGTTGAGAGAAGTTTGTTTGACTATAGTTATTCATGACCAATAAATCTTGATAAGCTTAAAATATCATGGAACATGGACAATACAACCAAGTGCTAATAACCTGTTACTTCACATAGTTTCCAAAAATCACAGAACATAAATACCTTCATCACTCATAGGTCCCTACATATTGAACATTTATATCACACTAAGGACATTAATGTCCTGACAAAGCCCCATTGTAGTTCCTTTACAATGTTATAAACCTTTGTGGATCAAAAGAACAGGAAAAAGGAGATTTTGGTTTCAACTATAATAAGGATACGACGATGAAATTAAGCAGGCTAGGAACTAAATCCAACTTTAGCAAGACCATATAAGCATCCCAAATTTTAGTTGCTCAGTCCCAATCTTCGTGCACCTGAGAACACAACCTTAAAACCCTAGCCCCAGGAAACGAAACAAACACTATATATATAGAGAATGAGAGCACCTATGAACATTGAAAAACATAAACTTCTGTGAACGAACCCTAAACGGCCCAAACTCAATCACAAAACCTACTCAATATCCTTCAAAATCTCCACAATCCACATCCCAAAATCATCCAAAAACATAAACAATTCACTAAAACAACACAAACCCATTTCGAATCACTATATATTCAACCAAACCCGCAGAAATAATTAATCCAACAAAGAGAACCCACAAACCTGTTTCCTTCAAAATCTCCACAATCGACATCCAAAAACATAAACAATTCACTAAAACAACACAAACCCAGTTCAGATCACTATATATTAAACCAAACCCACAAAAGAATTTAGTCCAAGAAAGAGAACCCACAAACCTGTTTCTTCATATCACCCTTCTTAGCCATGAGAGCAGCGGAGAGAAGCCTGGGCAGTCGATCGGACTCAGCGGCCTCGATGCGAGGAGGCCACACTTGAGGGTTCTTATAGCACAGAAACAAATGGCGATCGTAGTAGTCTACGGTCCCAACCAGTGGGCTCTGCCGGAATTCAGTCCGAAAGAACCCAAACTCGAGGTCGCCGCCGCCGTCGAGGACGAGAAAACCCTCATTATTGAAGCTTCCAGAGGCACTCCCAATTTGGGAATTAGGGTCGAGAAGGAAACTGTCTCCGTCGGAGACTGCGATTGGGGACGATGTTGATGATGGGTTCATGAATGTCAGAGGCTCATCCCTATTGCTTGCCATTCAAGTGTTCGACAAAATCACACAGAGAGACGATTTTTTTTCCACGAGAGAGAGAGTGGAAGTGTTGGTTTGGCTGTGACTTGTGTTTTGGTGGACTTTGGTCAATTAGTGTGATGACCTGGCGGACACGTGTCAATCAGGGGACATTCTACTATGGTGTTTTTTTTTTTTTTGTTCCTTGGGGGGGGGTTGTGTGTGTCAAAGCTATTCACATGTCTGGCTCAACATCTCATGTCACTAATATATACCATTCATTTCTGATGTGGATGACAATTTTGATCAAATTTGACAAGTTGGTTTGTGACTAAAATAGTTATAAAAGATAAAATAAATTATTTTAATCACAACAAATAAACATCACATCTAATCCATAATCATTACTCTTTTCTCACAAAAAAAAGTTAAAAAATTAAAAAAACTAAAAAGCCTTTCCCAAATCAAATTTTTTAGTCCAAGCTAGAATAACTAAAAAAAATCAAAAAGTCAACCCACTTTTTAAACGGAAGCATTGAGAGGTCACATAATAACTATTACTAGTTTTTGTCTTATGATTGGCCACCAATCATTCCATGATTAGTTAGTCTCACATTTTTTTATTATTATTGTTGTTGTTGATGATCATGATAATATAATGTAATTATGTTTATCAGATTAATTTAATTTTTTTGTATAGATAATTTATATTGAAATATAAAAATTAAATGAAATAGGAGTTCATGATTATTTTTGTTTCAAATCATATTTTCTAAATGCAAATTGTTTTGAATTCATTTTTCAAACTGCCATTATTTTGTAAAGTTGCAACTCAACTTCGAAAATTTTTTACAAAAAATTAAGTAGTTTAGCCTTTTCAAAATAGTTTATAAAGCAACACAAGTTTGAAAAATAGGTTCAGTATGTATCTAGAAGAATGCATGATTTGAAAGAACTCAAATGGTTCAAAAAAACAAAAACCATCATCTAGGTTCTCCACAGCAAAAAGATAGAAACAGGATCCAACAACAGAGAATTTTACCAACTACTCATCCATGGGGGATGCTGATTTCACAAGTCTTCTGGGACTCCAATGAAACCGAGCTTGTTCTAAGTTCAATGACAGTAAAGTTACGTGTCCTAAAACGCGACAAAGCTGGATGTTTCACACTTCAGCATGCTGGTAGTTGGTCTTTGTCGATCGCTTATGCAACCATAACTAAAGGACTGCAGCTTTATTTTGCAGAGAAAACAAGAGAGAGCAGAAAATAAATCATTTGTACTGAAATCTCCAAGCAATTGTCTCTAGCTTTGTTGCTGGATCATACAAACTCACTCACTCTTCCTACTCCTACCATTTGCTTTCAATATATCTACTACCCAAAGCAAGCAAAAATAACAGAAACTTAATTCCACTGGTCTCAAATGTACAAGCCCAAATCATAAACATTCTTCTCTCAAACATTCACTTGCACGAATTTTTTTTTCTCCAAAAACACGCATCACATGGGCCTCTCACCAGGAAGATAAGACGGTGATCCGCCCTCAATTTGATTCTTCTTCCTGTGGAAGATGCCACTGAGATTAGGTAAAAGCACCTTTTTGGATACAGAAGTGTTCTGTTTTTCCAACTTTTGGGCAACCATGACTTTCTCTGGTGGATTCTGCTTTTGATTTTGAATCCGGTAGTTGCGGGGGGACGCTTCTGATGACATCTCCCTCTCTGCAAGAATCCGAGATGCCGCTTCCGCCGCCTTCTTTTGCTCTCGTTCGCGCCACCTTCGGAGCTCTCCTTCCACCGCCTTCTTTGCCGCCTCCGCCATCTCTGCGCTCTTCAAGGCATCCCGAGTCGCAGCTTTCATATCATCAATCTCCTTCTGAGTCGCCTCCAACCTCTTGACTGCCTCATTTTCACTTGCTTTCACAGCTTCTACCTGCGCTATTGCAGCAGCCACTTTCATTTCAGCCAATTTGTCAGATTCCTCAACTTTCCGGCTCAGTGCCTCGAACTCTTCTCTTGAGATTGTGATCTGGGCACCAGACTCAGAAGTCGAGGCACGTGCTGCATTAGTTCTCTCGGACAAGATTTTAATCTGATCAAGAGCCCTTGTCTCGGCTGCTTTTGCCTCTTCAGCCTCCTCCAATGCAACTTTTAGCTGCTTCTCTGCTTCTTCTAGAGCAGTTTTGGTGGCTTCTGCTTCATTGTTCAACTTGTCAGCTTTCTTCTTCATCTCCTCAGCTTCGCATCTTGCATTTTCACTTTCTGATGACAACTGGTGGAGGGTTGAGATCATTTCTTCAAAATTACCTCTGACTTTGGATTCTTCAGCAATGGCTGCTTCAAGCTCGGACTTGCTTTTCCGGAGCTTGACGTGCAGATTCCCAGCAATGGATTCCGTTTCTGCTTCCTTCTCCTTTAGTTCAGAATGCTCTCTCTTCACATTCTCAAGCTCCAGCTTAAGGGACTCCACCAAGCTTCGAAGCGAGCTTTCCTCTTCAGCAACTTTATGAAGTGACCCCTTAGCATCACCCAGCTCTGAAGTGACAACTCTGACAGAATCAAGATCCGAAGCCTTTGCATTTTCCATCTCTTTTTGCAACACTCCAATCTCCGTTGCTGCTTCAGCAAGCTGGGCCTCGAGATTTTTGGTGACTTCAGGATCGAACTGTGTCTTCAAAGCAAGCAATTTCTTCGATGATTCTTCAAGGATAGCTTTATACGACTGCTTCTGAATATCTTTCTCAGCAAATATCTTCGCTTGTTCTTGCTGGGCTTGCATTGTTGCAAGATTCACCAGCCCAATCGATTCCTGTACAGCAGCAATTTCCTTTGCAAGCTCGCCAACTTTCTCCGCATTTGCTTTGGCTGCATGCTCGGCTTCTTCTGCTTGCTTGAAGGCGGCAGCTTTTGCTTCCAGGGTTGCATCGCAATCCTGACGGATTTGCCTCAGCAATTGTTTTGCAGCATCAAGTTCAGTAATTGCAGTCATGTACTGTTCTCTTTTATTTTCCAAGTCCTGTTTCCGGACACCATTAGCTACCGCAGGACTAGCACCATTTGCTTCTCCAAGTTGCTTCACCTGAGCAGCTTGTGTTGCCTTAATTACCGATTCCTTTGATTCAGTCACGGTTTTGAGCTTCTGGGTTAGGTCATCGACTGTCCTTTTAGCCTTTTCAAGCTCTATGAGTGCTTGGGCTTTTGTAGTTTCAGCACTCTTTAGTTGTTCCTTCAGCTTATTTAACTCTTTCTGGGTCAAGTGAAGCTGTGTTTCTTTTGCTAATACCCTCTGCAGTAAAACACAAAAATATATATAAACCAATTGGAAGGTAATAATTAAGTGAAGCTATCAAATTGCTTTTTGAAAAGGTCAACCAAACGAAAATTCTGCGAACAACCTCCTCTGAGAACTTTATTAGTTGTGCATTATTTAATTTAGGTCAATAGCAGGAGAGAAGATGCCACAACCAACCCCTCCAAATAGCATTTCCTCAAACCTATGAAGCACCGACACTTCAAAACAAGTGCCCTATCCGTGTCGGACACACAGACACTTCGGAGACACGTATGGGACACACCACACCACATGGTGTGTCCCCTTAAACCAAACCAAAACAAACCAAGCCATGGTGTGTCCCCTTATTTAATTAATTTAGTGTCCCCTTATTTAATTAATTTATTTTCAAGAGACGCTTTGGGGACACACTAGGACTTCCCCAATTTTATGTAGTACTTTTGATGAATGTTGAATGTTTATTATTTTTTTCTTAGATTTAAATACTTAATAGATCATTCATAAAAAATATATAAACTGTAAGTGCCAATTTGAAATAAAAAAATAGAATTAGAATTAGTTTTTGTTAATATTAATTGTTTGTAGATGTAATATTAATCTAAATAGTAAATAAAAATATATGAGAACATATTTTATTGCCATGTCCCCGCCGTATCTGTATCCGTATCCCTATTTTTTTGAAATTGTGGTATTCCGTGTCCGCATCCGTATCAATGTCCGTGCTTCTTGCGCAAAATTAACAGTGGTATTACTGAAAACATCACCAGAACTTGTCAACACAAACCTATTTTAGCCAATCTTTTATGACATTTTTTTTTTCCTTTTCACCTTCAAGCAAAGCTTGATTTAAATTACATATTTAACATGTCGAATATAATTTAACCTGCTAAGGAATGTGATCAGAATATCAAGCAACAAAATTATTCTCTTCATGCCTGTTTTTCCACTACGGAATATCCAACTTTTTAAGGGACAAGCATTCAACATTTTCAATTTTCGTTTCCGAGTGTAGGAAAATAGTTGATTTGCTGTGGGAAAAGATAATCCAAAGAATGCAATTAGTTAAATTATAAGGAATGTTTTGCAACATCATTAGAGTAGTGCTATAAAAATAGAATCTACAACTAAAATTATATACAAAGAATGACGTCATAAATTAAAAGCCGATCACCTGACCACCGATGTCCATTGTATTTTCAAAACTACCATTGGCACATCATTGTGGATGAAAATTCTAGTTAAAGTTTATGTTAGATCAATTGGATATCCAAGAACTGGGTTTTACATCATTATATTTTAAATATACCATCATATTCATAGGGATGGCAATTTGAACCCGACCTAACGGGGACTGGTCCCCCGACCCTGATTAGAACGGTTTTTTCCTAAAAAATACCCCCGACGAACTAGGGATGGTATTCGAAAATGAATTCCCGACAATTTTCAGACCAGCGACGATGATAGGTTCCCCCACCCCGGCCCGTCCCGTCCCTATCCCCCGCCCGAGCTGAAATTACTATTTTTTGGTTGGACATTTGAGAATCGAGATGTTATGTTGCATGGATTATTTTGAGGAGATGGACCCATAGAATATTTTTGAGAGATGCCTATTGATTTTAGAAGTTAGCTAATAATGTTGGTTGTACATGCTACTTTGCAAAATTTATACTTTTTTTTTTTTAAAGCAAAAAACACGTGGTGTTTGGATTTTTTTTATTTTTATTTTTTTGGGTGGTGTGTTGTTTGAATGTTTATGTTTGAATATTGTTGAATTATGTTTTTATATATATTATTTTTATTTGCCTCAAAAAAATAAAATAAGATATGCAAAATTCAAAAAAAAAAAAGGGTCGAGGATTTTTTAGGGTCAGGAAACCCGATCCCTATTAGGGAGCAGGGGCTGATGGGTTTCCCGTGGGTGATCGGGGGCAGGGGCGGGGGCGGAGACGGGAAATTTTATACCTTCGGGGATCGGGGACAGGGAGTGTAATTTCCGGCCCCGGCCCAGCCCGTTGCCATTCCTATTCATTGAGGTTGCCACATGCCTGTAAAAACATAAATCTCTAAATTTGAGTAGCAGACATGCACAAGCGCAGGTACATGTACACATGTGCGCAGACAACGTTTTAAACCTCATTGACTAGTGATGATAACCTAAAACATCACTTCTCACTAATGACTTTAAAGAGGGAGTTCTCAAATGAAACCAAAAAGAGGAGAACATGCAAAATTCGATTCAAATAATTCACACAACACTTTCACAATGACGAGTTGAATCTGCAGGGAAAGGGATTCAGAATTGCCTTGACTAATTAAATTAATACTCTCCAAAATCAATTAGATGAAGCCAAGAATAGCTTTCTAAAACAGAACCACCACTGGTCACTGAATAACCAGTACAAGGCACTTAACTAAGCATTTTACAATAGATCAAAACCACATCCGCTTCTCTCTCCCCCTAACAGAACCAAGCCATCCTAGGCCGCCTGACCCTGCAGGCACCTAAATAAGTGCAGTTTAAGTACAGATATTGTCCTGTGATTTTTTACTCCTTTGTCGTGTGCATTTTTACTTCCAAAAATGCAATTTATTTGGGCACCTTCGGATCTAATATAATCAAGCTTCTCAAGAATTGTGGATCACCAGATGTGTTGATATCACCCCAACACAATAAGAAAAAATAACAGTCAGGGATAATATATTTGTTTTCTACACAATTACAATACAAAAATCAGAAATACCTCTGCAGAATGTGGTTTTGCCTTCTTGATGGCAGGTTTTTCCCCTGAAAAAGCGCCTTCACCAAATAAATTGACAGCATCCTTGACAGATTGAAATGGTGCCCTGGTGTCTATCTCTCCAACCTCCACCACTTTAGGAGAGTCGGTAGCATTTAGACGATCTTTTGCTCCCATACTTCTTTATTAATTATTTTTCTGCAGCCCTCCTGTTGAGAATAATCAGAAACATTTCTATTTTGAGCTAATCTAGAAAAAGGATTACCAAATAAAGAATGGTTATCATAAATGAACAAAACATCCAACTGGTTGCTTCAGCCAGAAGGTAATTTCCAAATCAAAATATGCGGGGGTGTGAGAATATTAGGTTGGGTTTATATATATGATAGTGTATATTGTGTATATATTTTGAGTTATTGTGTATATATATGGCAGTGTTCTCTTTTCCTTTTTAGTCTTAGGGTTAGGATTACTATATAATCAAATACATTCTTTGTATTAGAACACAATTTGAATTTACACAAAACATTCAAAAATCTTACAATAAGATGATTAGAAGAAATCTACATACAGGACACAGTGGGTACTCAATCTCGACCCAGGAAAAAAAAAAAAATGGGGCGAATCAAACTATCCAAGCAAGCAAATATACATAAAGGAAATAAGACTCGGTCTTGGTCAAGCTCAAGAACCAAAGAGGTTGGTACCTGAGAAACTGTCAAGGGTAAGGCATATGCATTTTTTTTTTTTTGGGGGGAGGAGGGGGGGGGTTGGAATTCAGTCACAGAATTGAGAATTTTCAATAATGCTTATTGTTATTGTTTTGTTGAGTCTTTAGGATCTAATAAGGCAAACAAAAGAACATCATTTATCAGATGACGTCAACTCTGCAAAATTTGCATACGACATAATGATGGTGTGTAAAAGTAAAGAAAGGCAGCATAAGTCCAGAGCTGCGGATGAACTATTTCAAATTGAAAAAGTTTACAAGAAGTTGGAACATAGTAAACAGAGAAACTAAACATAACTTCTTAAGACCATGAAATAGGGGTGGCCAGGGAATAGTTCATGGCAACCAAGTCAATAAAATGTACGAAAGCTCACAGAATCAGAACAAAAGACCACAGTGAAAAAAATGCCCTTACATGTTTTGTGATTGACAGAGAATAAATCCCAAGGTAAAAGGAAAAAAACAACAATAAAACCAATATTAGTTTGTGGAAAGACTGCATTGAATAAATGTCCAAGATAAAGATGTTCAGATGAATCAATGAAATTAACCACAAAATGATCCAACAACTAACAAAAACAATATGTATAACACAAACAAATAAGGTCAATTCATAAGTTGGCATCTAAATATACAAACCTCCAAAACCAATGTCCTTCAAAAGCTTGTCACTGGCTGCTTAAGCCCAGTAACTCCCTCCTACATACAAGTAAACCTCAAACTCGCTTCGAAGCACTCAAATGGAATCCCAATTGTCAAAAAAGTTCACTCCTGGATATGCAAGGCCATAAAAGTTTCATAGAGAATTTTGAACTGCGAGTACAACTTAGGAAGAAACTCCAAAAACTGACTACTTAACATTCTAAGGATTAAGTAATAAAAAAAATTATTTATTGTATTTAACGCAAACCACATACCCAATCAATTATTCAACTCCATAACCCTTCCAAGAGCCTATCACACTTCTATCGGTTTCATATTACCTAATTTCTTCCCCACAGAACAACTTTTCCATTACCACTCAATTAGTAGGTTGAATACATTAAGTTTCCCTCAGCTTCAAGACTGGCAGCTATTAAATTGATATTCATTCTCCATTGAATTCCCAATATCAGATTGGATTTCCATGAACAAAAAACATGCAAAAGCACAAAAAAAATGTTGATCTTCAAAGAGGTCTCCACTACTTAACAAAATCTGGGACATACTTATCCCAAAAACAATAATTGATTAACACACATCACTAAATTCATGTAAAATAAATGTACTCGAAGGCACCCACTGCAAGTGTGAAACCCATCCTTCGCCTTCTCTATTCATAACCTCATATACCTAATGGTGCTTAACTACTCCATACAATCCATATAATCATTCCTTCACAGCAACTAGTCACCGCTAAGATTCTTTGAAATAAATCTCAGAGCTATCATTTTCAGAATAAAGGCAGACCCTTCTACTTGAAAGCATCATGAAATAAACTAACTGATCTTGCTTAAGTTTAGACATCATAGAATTGAAACAACAGTACCTCTAACTAATTTTTCAACTTCAACAATAAGACCAAATGAATCTTTGATTCATCACTTCTCTTTTTCTTTTTCTTTTTCTTTTTTAGGGAGGATATGGTTTCAAGATATTCTTGGAAGTGATAAAAGTTTCTGCCAAGGGAATCAAGTCAAACTGAGATATAAACATTACTGCTCATCATATCAGACTTGTAATACCGTATAATGAACATTTGATAAGGGAAGAGCTGAGGGAACAGGTATTAAGAACACACACACGCACAGAGGAAACAATATTTCAGTAACAAAGCAGAGTCAATGAAAATGAAAATCATCTAATTCATGATCTACCCTATCCAAAAGTGATCTTATTTACTACATTTAGTATCCTACCTTCAACCTCCAATATAACTATCATCCACAAGGCAATCAAGTCACACCAATAATAAGCAATAAATGGAACATCATCATGGCATCCTAAGTAGCATCATATAGAACAAATGACCAATGAAATAAAGCTCTACGAAGAAAATTGAGGGGATAGACAAGCTAAATTATATTTTGAAGGAAGTTTTCCACCCTTTTTATGCTTGTTCAGAAACCAATCTTTAACTCCGAAATTGAAAATGGTGAAAATTTTATCCAAATTGCATTTGTCATCTCTCATGTTTGGCATAGATGTCACAAAAAGAAACAGGAAACATGTTTTAACTTTTCTGGCCAACATCATGGACTAAGTTTTCCACCAAAAATTTGTCAGAAGGATGCAAACCTCTAGATTATTTTTCCTTTTTCCATTTTTTTTAATTTATTGTTCAAGCATTCTAAATTTTCTCCAATTAGTTGTCGACTACAGGTGACATTAAGTATATTAACAGAAAGTGGAAAAGAATCATCCTACAATGGTTCTTTGTTTAATAGGTAGAAGAATCATCCTATATATTTTTGGAAAGAAACAATCACTCAAAATTTATGCTCCTCAATATGAAAGACCTCTCCTAATATTCCAACCAACTAATGAATAACATATTTTAGGCAAGGGAGGTACAAAAGCGAGAGATAAACTTCCAGTGCTACAATTCAGAATACAGGAAAGGTAAATAAGGAGAAACAATCAGAGATTTAGCCATTACTTGGAATGACATTTCATGTGTGTTTTTCAATTAGGCAAAAGATTTAGTTCAGATGCGAAAGAATGGGGGCATCTGAATTGCCTTTTCTGGGTTGCAAAAATAATGAACAAGAGTACAAATAAAGAGGCATTCATTTCTTTCTTACATTTGCTATAACAAGTTTCAATGTAATCAAATTTGAAGTCTTATCAGTGAAAGAACAGGGCCATACATACCTGGTCAATAATCTTTGAATCTTGTTACACTTCAACAGCTGATGAATGCCTCCTCGAATCCTACTTTCACATGAACAAACATTAGATCATTAGACAATTTGAACCCATGACCAATTCTCAATTTTTCATGGTATCAATAACAAATATCAAGTATTAGATTAAAGATAACAAGAAAAATTAAGCAAACAAATGAGCAATTAAAAAAGGGCTATTAAAAAGGGAAAAAAAGAGAGAGAAAACAAAAGGGGTTGAAAAGGTAGAACAGAACAAAGTACAAACCTAATGATAGCTTACTCAAAAACCCTAATCAAGCGAGAACGACGTGACAAACGGTAAAGAGGGTTCTTTGAAAGAGCAACGAATCTTGATCATCCTCACCGATCTTCACATACTCTTTCAAAAAGTCAAAAACCCTTTTCGAATCTCTCAAAACCCAACACGAAAACTTCAATAAAATGACTGTTACAGTCTCCAACCAAATCGACTCGAAATTCTCCAGCAAAGAACATGTATTTTCCTCACAAATTTCCAGAAAATTTTAAATCAGTAATCTTGAATTACAGACTGGGTTTCTGGCAGAATCGAAACGGAACGAGAGTTCACAGGAGAGAGAGATAGAGAGAGAGAGAGAGAGAGAGAGGTTTGAAAGTTCAAAAGCAGTTTGATTCGGAGACAAATTTTATATCAGCAAACCAGAGAGAGAGAGAGGGGGGTGACATGTCAGCACAATCACCGTCCAAGACATCAAACCAGTGTTGGGGCAGCGAGATGCGCGAAAAGCAGAGTTGGTGTGGAGAGAGAGAGAGAGATAGTTCTCTGTATTTGTTTAAGTTTGGATAAGAGCACCTCTAAGATCATCTTTAACGGTGAATCAAACTCAGCATCAAATTTAAATTTTGATGAAAAATTTATTTTTTCAAGTTTTAACTACTGTACCAAAGTCATATCAAAATGAGAATTCAGCAAATAAAACATCAAACTGAGACCAAGACACAGATTTTACCAAATCACTGTTACTGACCGTTAAAAGTGGTACACCGGTCAACCAATCGGTTGCCCAGCCGGTTGACCGGACCGGTTCTCTTTGAAATAACTAGGTTCAAACCGGTCAAAAAAAGGTTCAAACAAGTAAAAAAAAAAAAAATTTGCCCAAACCGGTCGACCACTTCCCTAATTCTGCTTTGATGCTCACCGTTGGAGCGCCTCGTATCAAATTGAAAAAATCGTCATTTTTTTCATCAGATTTGATGAAAAAAGAAGTTAAGCGTTGGAGATGCTCTAAGGCTTCAGTATTTTTTTTTATCAAATTTAAATAAGAAATGATTTATTTTTTTAATTTGATATTAATTGCTTCAATGATGCATCAAAAGAAGGGACATTCCGTGGGTCAACCGGTCGGTTAACTGGTAAGACAAATATATTTTTTGTTTTTTTTTTACTTTTTTGAATTGTTTGAATTTATTTATTTGAACTGTTTGAATCTGTTTCCGATCGATCGGCCGGACGTCCGGTAGGTTGACCGGTGGGCCACTTACAACGTTACAACATAGTGAATTGGTGAAGGCTCATGCAGATTCTCAGTTTGGTGAGAATTTTGCTTCGTTCTCAGTTTGATATCAATTTGGTAAAACTATTAGAACAGAAAAAGTGACTTTTTTCATCAAATTCAAATTTGATACTGAATCTGATGCAACATTGGAGATGGTCTAAATTATCACTAAATCGTATTTTGGATTGGTTTGGGAAGTGGGTTGGCTTTTTGGCTTTTTGATTTTTTTTATCTATTTTAACATGGGCTAAAAAGCTTGCTTTGAAAATGATTTTTTAGATTTTTGGCTTTTTGATTTTTTTAATGAGAGAAGAGTGTAATGATTATGAGTTGGATGTGATATTTTATTTTTTGTGGCTAAAATATCATATTTTGTCTTTTTTTGCTAAAATAGCAAAAAAAACCTAGTTTAGCTCTTTCCAAACGAAACTTATTCCGTGTGTTTAGTTTGAGTATTTTAAATTAAATTTTTTTAATTTTTTTTTATGCTTTTTCATTTTTAATAAATATTTTTAAAATTTTAAGTAATTTTTTTTTATTTTCTTAGATATATCCTATTTAGATGTGTCTAAAAAGTAAAATATTTGTGAAAAAATATTTTAAAAAATTAATAAATACACAAAAATACAAAAAATGTACTGAATTTTCATTTTTTTTTTATATTTTTGGTATTTAGTGAATTTTTTAAAGATTTTTTTCACAAAAAATATATTTTTTAAGTATATTTATGTTAGGTGTGTCTAAAAATTAAAAAATATTAAAACATTAAAAAAGTTCAAGAAAAACAATAAAATAAAATTTTCTGAAAAGTGTTTTTAAAAAACTCAAGCCAAGCAATTAGTATTTATTAAATTTTATTGTTAAAATTTTCAAGTAATCAGTATATTAAATTTTTTTATTTTTCTAAATAAATTTATCATTTAAGATTTATAAATAAATAAATTTAATTAATAAGATTGTGGTAATTGCCCTTTATGTTTTTGTCTGGGGCAATTATACCCTAGTAGCCTTTTGTAATTTGGTTATATTTAAGAACTTGGTTATTTTAGTTAATTTTTTTGACTATTTGATTATTTTAGCCAAAAAAAAATTATGTTTTGGATGATGTTGACTTTTTTTTAGTTGATTTGATAGTCTTGAGCGAAAAAATAAAATGATTATGGTTTAAATGTAACATTTTATTTTATTGACTATTTTAATTTATTTTTTCTTTATTAACTATTTTAGTTAAATAAAAATCAAAAAAATAATCCCACACAGGGCCGTATGATTTGTTAGTTAGATTTTTATAATTTTAATCATATTAAACTTTTATCAATGTTAATTTTTTGAGTGCAATTAATAATTATTTTAGAATTTATAGATAAAATATATTTTTTTAGGAAGAATTATATGCAGGTGGGAGAAAAAAAAAAATTGCAAATACAGAGTGTAAATGTGTATGTGATGAGGTTCAATTGCACCCCTCCATATATTGATAATTTTTTTTTCTCTTCTGACCTCCATGTAATTCTCTCTTTTTTGTAAGTGATTAAGGCAATAATGTTGCTTTTTATTTGTTCATTTCTGTTTGAGTTTACTATTTTGTATTTGATTTTTATCTAATTTTTAATAAATATTATTAATTAAATTAAATTGATGGAATGTAAAAAAATAAATAATAATAATAATATTTTGATATTATTACAATTGCAAAAATAAAAATGTAAATTACATTAATTGTCCTTAAAAAAAATTTTAAAAAAATTACACAAATTCACACAAACTTTGCATAATTACATAGCATTCACTTATGATTTTAATTTAAATAACATTTAAAATTTTCTTATTAGTAATTCATTAGTCTTAAAAAATAAAATAATATTATAATATATTTTACATTATAATATTTATTTTATCATTAATTATCTATCTATTATTACACTATATGTTCATTAATTATGTTTACTACGCTTTTATTAAAAGATAAATTAGTATAATTATGTCACATTTATAAAATTTATTATAATTTTTCAAATGTAAAAAATTATTAATATAATTTACTTAAAATAAAATTAATGTTGTGGGTGCATTAGCACGATATTATTTGCTTTAGAGTTAGGTGAAAACCCGCAGCTAACCCCTCGCGACTTTAAAATATCTCATACTAGTTTAAGAGAGTTAGTCCACTAGAAAATATCTCAAACTAGTCTAAGGGAGTTATTTCACTTATGTAGTGGAGCTGTGATCTCTCACAGAGTGATGTAGGATAGTGCACCCACATAACTCGCATCCACGTAACTCTCTAGTAGATTGGCTACTTGAGCAGAAAATTCTCACAGACAATACCAAATTAAACAATTAACCCTTCTCGATTAGCACGATATTATTTGCTTTGAAGTTAAGCGAAAACCAACAACTAATCCCTCATAATTTTAAAAAGCCTCATACTAATTTAAGAAAATTAATTCACTTATATAATAGAGTTGTGATCACTCACAAAATGATATGGGCTAATATACCTACAAATATAAATGATAATTTATGGAGGCAGTATATACATAATTTGTCCTTACTTTTTTGTTTTTTTGATGAATGAATGAATAGCTGTGCCTTTTTGCCGTGTTTCTCTCTTTCACACACAAACGCACTAGACATCTCCTCGCACGTCCAAAAAGACATTTGTTTGATTGTTTCGATCTCTGCTTGTAAAGTATCATTATTTGTCTCTTTTTCTCTTGCCCTATGAATGGATGACATGTGTGCATATAAAAATTGGATTCTGAAATAATGGGTTGTGACAAATTTAAAAACAAATCCTCATCATTATTTATTGCCTCTGGCCTCTACTCAATTGAAATAAAAAAGTCAAGTCTAAGTTAAATTGACACCGTGAGTTTCTCATTTTTGGTGAATAGAGTCGTTTATATTGTTCATCTCTATATAAATTAGTTATTTAAAAAATTAAATTGATTAAATTGTTATTAAAAAATAAATAATAAATTATTATAATTATTAAATTTATTAATTCTTTCATAATAGATATCAATTTCTAGTTGCATAGCATAATTTTGTGAATTTTTACATAATTTTCTTCAAAATAATAATATGACTGTAATGACAAATCACGATCAATTAAAAGCTTGAGATAAGAATAAATATTGTTCAAGTACTTGAAATAATTTGAAAAAAAAATATATAGATTAAAAAAAAGGACAATTGCAATAAAATGATATATGTAGAAGTATATTGCACAATCTAATACATGAATTGTTTGTATTTTTGTGACATTGTAATTATTTTAAATTTTAAATATGAATATCAATATATAAGTGTTACTTAGGTTTTTTGAAGTATTTTTTTCGTGTCTCTATTACTGGCCTTATCATCATTGACGTAATATATTAAGTATTTTTAACAGATATTCCGTTACAATCATGTAAAATAATGGAGAGGAGGACAATTCTTTTTAACAATTTTAAATGGACTTGGCACATCTATAAACTGTCTCCTGCTTTGAAAACCCAAATGGAAAAACATTCCAGCCTTCAGAAACCAGGATTTGGACCCACATTAATCATATTGACAAAGTCAAATGGGCCCAACCATATGGGCCTGAGAGTACGGTCCAAAGTTTTTTGAAGCATTTAATTTATAAAATTATACTCTTTTGAATCTTAACTTAAATTTTTTGAACTTTTAAATCTCTTTAAATTTTTAATAATTGAAATTGCCATTCAAATAATGATTGTTTATCATTTATGATTATCTATAAAATAACATAATGATTGGACATTTATTTTAATTTTCAAAACTTTAAAACATCAGCATTTAAATTGAAAAAACTAAAAAAAAAATTATGTGCAAAAAAAATTAAAAGAGTATGATGATGAAACATTGATGTGCAAAAAAAAAAAAATTTAAAAATGAAAAACTGATAATGTTCTTGATTTTATTGGATAGTTGAATCAAATCAATAAGTAAAAGGGCAAAAATATTTAATCTCATGCTCTTTTTTTTTTAACAATTAGTGAAACAATTATCTTGAACATTACTATACAAAATTGATAATATTCTTAATTTTAAAAATTGAAAAAAAAATGATAATATTATCAATTTT